TGGGTCACTGAGTCTGGAATGGTCAAGTTCACCAAAGAGCTGCAATCTTGAAAGGCACCATCGCCAATGTGGGTCACTGAGTCTGGGATGGTCAGGCTCGTCAAAGAGCTGCAATTCTCAAAGGCATAGGCACCAATTTCTTTCACCGAATCTGGGATGGTCAATTTAGCCACCTGATGGCAGCAGCTGAAGGCCCTGTCAGCAATTCGAGCTTCATGGCTTGGGAGTTCAAGAACGAGCAACACTTCTGGGTCAATTTTGTTGGTGCGGCTATCAATCTCATCTTTGTTAGAGCATCTGACTCTGTTTGGCTTGAAGACAACGCACACAACAGCACCTGCAGTGACCCCTACATCCGCCACTGTTTCATCATTGCCCATCAAACGCTCTCCAAGAACAATCTCCACCACAGTAGTTCTGCGAGTATCTTTGTCCCAGGTGAGCTGCTCTTCTTTGATCAGTTGCTTTAGCTCTCGACCCGTCATCTCCAGTGTGACTTCAAGACACATTGGTTCGCCATTGACGAGTAGCGCTGAGATTCTCATTATATAACCAATCCCACACACTCCATGCATGGCATACATATATATATATACATGCATTGATCTTTGACCGCTAAAGCCACCCCAATAACCTTGGCTGGGTTTTATAGATTACAAGGCACACATGTTGCAGCGTTGGAAGATCCAGTTCTGGACTGATCCCTGAAAAAAAATACATGTTTGGTGTTGAAACAGCTCAACTTGAAGGTTCACATGGTGGTGTTTCAGGAGGCAAAAGTATCTGCAATCTCCAGTTTAGACATGGTTTAGTCTAGATCTTCTGTCAGAGAACGCTCCGTTTCTGGATGTCTTTCCCCTTCCTGCCTAGCTCCGTTTCGTGGGTCTTGATGGATCAACCCATTGGTCAGTCTGTCCAGTCTGTCCCGAAAAAAACGAGGGTGGGTGTGCTTGGGAGAGCACACACTAGCTCAAAACCCTTAGAAAACACTGTAAATACTGTGCAAAATTTCAAAAACTGCTCTGAGAACTAGGCGAAACGCAATTTTTTTGATCTGTCTGTGCCCAGTCTCCATGTCCAATGTCAATGACAACAAATAACAGCTCTTCGTCTGCCCACTATCAATGTGCAACACCAATGATAAATATTATCAGGTAAATCTCTCTCTGCCCACAATGAATGTGGCATCATGAGCGAATGAAGATATAATACTATACATCTCTAGATTCAATAGCTTTCCTCTGGATCTCTGGGAAAGTAGATTTCCTAGATTTGTGTATTTTTATTGAAGGAAAGCATTTGAAAGAAACACTTACATACATACTTATAGCTTTTTTAAAATACCATGATTATTTCCAGAGATCCAGAGGAAAGCTTTTGAAATGAAAGCTTTATATTTTTTCACAGAAGTGATCAGATCTAGAGGGAACCTTTTGAATTAGAAGTTTGTACATAAAGCAGTTCTAATATAGCAATGAATATTCCAAGGGATTACTTTAAACAAATACTATCTACTCAAAAACATAGTTTGTGTCTTATTCCCAGCACTCCTAGGGCAAAAAACACTGTAAAATATAGGGCTTTGTAACATGTGTGTTCTTAAACTAACTAAACTGGAATTAAAATAGAATTAGGCAAACTTAAACTAGAAGATGTCAATCAAGATCCTTTTAACATTGATTGTGGAATTTGCTATTCATTAGATATTAGATTGCAATAAAAATCATTTCCAAGTTCTCTTTAAAACTCATTGTGGAAACTAGTTCTTACAATTAGATTTTAGTCAAAGTCCTTTTCAAAGTTAGTGGTGGCTTTGATTTAATATCAGATTGTGTTTAAAGTCGATTTAAGATCAATTGTGGAAATTGTGATGCTTAACTAACTTGAATTGATTTTGTATCTGTTTGCTCCCCACTACAAGGCTACATCAAATAAAAGGACCTTGACTAACATCTAATTATAAGAATTGATTTCCACCATTAACTGTTAATTGAAAGTTAATTTTCACAAACAATTCTAAAAGGGTCTTGATTGATATCCAATACACAAGCAATTCAATCAAATTATGTTGAAAAGAACTTAAATTAAAATCTAAACAACAAGCAGTTTCCACAATGATTTTGAAAAGGACATTAATTGACATTTAAGTAATGCCTAATTTCTACAATGAAATATAATAGGATTTTATTTGAAATCTAATTCAAAATCAATTGCCACAATGATCTTGAACAGGCATTTAATCGAAGTTGAATTACACATTCATTTTTCTATAATTAATCTTGAAGAAATGTTAATTGAAATCTAATATAAACATCAATTTCCCCAATGATTTTGACAATGATATAAATGAAACTTAGATTGTAAAAAATCTACAATTAATCTTAAACACATTTTTAATAGAAAGCTAATGATACATCAACTTCCACCAATAATTCTGAAAGTGTTTTAATTGAAGTCTAATACCAAAATCAATTGAAATCCAATTTAACATCAAATTCCACCGTTAAACTTGAAAGAAACAAAAAAAAACACTGTGTTTTACAGTCATTTCTTGCAAAATCCTCTCCAAAATTGAGGTTTTGAGCTATTTTTTGAGCAATTTTGTGAGATCCAAGCCTATCCCAATTTAGAGGGAATACAAAAAAAACAAAAAAACAAAAAAAACAAAAAAAAATGTTTGAGACAAAATGGGGTCACTATTGGTTTTTGGATGTTGGCTGCATTTTGTGTCAAACATTGGTTTTTTGTTTTTTTTGGTTTTTTTGTTTTTTTGGTTTATTGGTTTTTTGGTATTCCCTCTAAATTGGGATAGGCTTGGATCTCACAAAATTGATCAAAAAATAGCTCAAAACCTCAATTTTGGAGAGGATTTTGCAAGAAATCACTGTAAAACACAGTGTTTTTGTATCATTTTTTGCATGAAAAACATCTCCCAGGAGCACCCGTTCTGAAAAAGAACATGTTTTTTTCAACATCTTCAACTGACGGAGTCGACCCGGTTCCATGTACCTCAGAAAATGGATCGAAAAGTGTTTCCCTAAGAATCCGGGCCCTTCACCAACAGATAGGGGCCCTGGTTCGGGCCCGGACCCCGGACGCGTTTCGGTGGAGAAGGTCCGACCCCTGCCATGGAGAGCCCGAGCTCGGATTCTTAGGGTTATGTTTTTTGTTTTTTTCGGATCATGTCCCATCTTCTAGCTAGTGCACGAACTGAACTGGAGGGTCCACCTATGCAAGAAAGTAATCTTCGCATGTCCATGTGGCCAAAAGCATGCAAGAGCGGCTGTGGGGAAATAGAGTTTTTCTCCTCTTTTAAGACAACCTCACCTGTCTTCTATCTGCAGTTCAAACTGCACTGCCTCGGCGCGTCCGCCGCCATGACGTTATTTTTTTGGCTGCTTCACGGCTTGCGAAACAAGGGCGAGATGAAGGATCTGTAAGGAGAAACCATCGACAAAAGCCAAACCCAGGGAATATGGATGTGGCTCAAAAAGAGACCCCATGTAAAAACCCGCAGGTTGAAACGTACATGTGATCCATTGATCACCTGGAGACCCCAGATGTCCAACATTGTCCAACCTCCAATAGTCTTTGTTGTTTTTTCGGCCTGCTCTAGATAGATTATAAGGTGTCAGGTAGAGGTAGAGTAGTATTCCGTATTATTCCATGCAAGGGATGCAGGTGCAACTTGTGAGGAATGGCGATTTCAAAGAAATGGACTCTACCAACGGCCCCACGAGGATCGGGGTGTCTATAAATAGCCCGCAGGATCGGGGATCGAAGAGGTATATAATTCAGGAATATTCCGGAGTGCAGGAGTGCAGCGGGGGGTGCCCAGACCCAACCTGGACTTGGGATGACTTGGATAAGTCTCATCCTGGAAGCTGGACCCAAGTATAAACCCTAAGGATCCAAGTACCCTCTGAGAAGGTGTTTGGGGTTTGGAGGGTCCAAGTACTGGTCGACCAGTTTTTGAAATGCTCAAGCACCAGGAGTCACATGTTGGGATGCCGAACTGAGAGGATGCCCACGATCCACGGCCGATGGGACTCCAAACCACCCCTACAGGTGTGGCTTTTTGTGTATTTGGAGATCCGGCAGACACCTCTCACCACTGGCGTTCGGGTCGACTGGACTATTAGCTGTACTCCGCACTTTCACTGTCTCATCGTTGGGAGTCGGGGAGACGGTCTTGAGCTACAGATCCAACTGGACTTCAACTGGTCTCACCCACACATCCCCCCCACGTGACCCGAGCCGAAGCGGAGGGCATTCATCCTCATCCTCTCGCCTCATCCAAGCTCTTCGGAAGCACCTGGGCCCGCCACACGTAGGGCGTCTGAGAATCCTCCGGCAAGTCATGAAGCAGCACGCTCCGCACCAGGCCGCCATAGTGCCAGAAGTCTCCGCCTGGGGCGAGGCGGAACTGGGAGATCCAGTGCGATCCCGATCTTCCCAAAGCACCTTGGCCCCCCCTGGCACCACGGCAGTCCCATGGAGTGTATACGGGATATGGCAGTCCCATGGAGTGTATGGGATATACCGATATACCCCCTACCCGCGCGGACCAAAAACCGAACAGGTGGCCGAGCTCGCTCCGGATCTGCCAGATTCGGTGTGAAGCGCGAACGGTGGTCCGCCGGGTTGGCCTGTGTGCATGGGTGCCGTCGTGGCGTTGAATCGGTTGTCCACCAGCAGAAACAGCTCGCGGCTTCGAGAAGAGGCGGTTCCGCCCGCCGTTCCGGAGAGGTCAGCAGCATCCAAGTCCAGGAACCAGGGGACGAAACCACCAGCGCGGTGCTCACCCACCTCTTTGCCTTGGTCTTGTGAAAACAGCTCAACCTGGAGCTGAAGCTTTTTGGTCTGCCGGAGATCCAGTCTGGGTTGAGGTGGCCTGGTGACCCCCAGTTCCGGGAGGTGGGGAAGAGCGATTTATGGAGGGCTGGGACCCGAATCCGAACTGGTCAGGGGTCTATAGGGGTCTGGGGTTTCTCACCAATCCCAATCGGTTTGGTTCGGGACCGGGCAGTCGGGCGTCGTGAATTCGGAGCGTCGAGCGGGAGACCAAACTCTGGACACCTCGGACACGTCGGATCCTGGGCAACCACCTCGGCCTGGGAGCCGAACCGTCACTGACAAGTGATAGAACTCCCCCATGCATGGGCAACATCATGCCATCTGGAACCCATTGGTCGACCTCTGTTTTGATAGGATTTGAGTTGGTGGTCCAAACTAGAGGTCAGAACCCGATCCGCCAAGTCGGAAAACACTTTTACCCCCATCCCTTCGTCCAAAGACCTCTGCCGCCTGGAACCCACTGCCGAGTCGCCGTCCACAAAGACCCGGCAATAGAAGGAGCATCCCATGAACTGTAGACGCGCAAACCTGCAAGTGAACGGCTTGCGGTTTGCGGAGTCCAACGAAGCGAACTTGCGGAATTTGGGGAAGTGAGCATTTCCAACATCTTTGCCGTATAGTTCCACAACGTTCCCTCCACCACCCTCACCCTCAACCACTTACCCATGCCACTTGCCCAGTGGACCTACCCACCTTCCCATCCATCCATCCATCCAACCATCCAACCAACCATCCATCCCTCTCCGCACTCCCCGGTGGCCTTCCGTTCTGCACGAAGTGGGTCCGGTACATCGCCACGCCCCGCCGGCCCAGCTTTCCCGGCGGCGCCACGTCCACGCTGCCGGGCACCGGGGCACCGGCCGTCGTGGACGCGGCGCGGGGGTCGAAGGGCTTCAACACGTCGAAGTCGGGCGAGGCGTTGAAGCCTGGGGAAGCCAACCAAGAGAGGTTGAACAGCCTGAAAAAGCCCATATGGTACCACAAACCAGGGTCCTAGGTCTCTCAACCTCTCTTGGAACACCATCCAGCAGATGGAATATAAGAGTACCAGCACCCGAGACCTGCCAGGTCACCACCAGGTCCACGTTTAAGTCTCCGAAAGCTACCATTTCGGAGACCTGTTTATCGTCGGGTGCTGGTAGTAATCTAGTAAGTAAGTGTAAGCAGATTGTCGATGGGGTCTCCGAAAAAGACTTCAGAAAGAATGAGTGCCAGCACCTGCATTTTACAGGGACTTTGGAAGGTCCAGGTGGACACACACCTTCGCATACCCGAGCTTTTCGAGCGACCCATCCACGTGGCAGCTGGTCGAATCCAGTCCCATGGACTTGAGCCTCGTGTGGTTCTGCAAATTCCTGCTTTTGTTGACCTGAGCTCTCATTTGGCTGAAGAACCCAGGTCAGTCTGACCTGCTCTGGCATGTGACCTGCTTCCTTCATGCCCATGTCTGCTCGAAGCCGCCCACCGCCCACCGCCCCGCCCCACCGCCCCACCTCACCTCCCCTCCTCCGAGCTGCCGAAGAGCCACTCGCCGTCCAGCAGCGCCACGCGGCGCGCGCCGCCGTAGCGCGGCCAGAAGGGTCACGGCGCGACCGCCGCGCTGGTCGCGGCCGCGGCCGCGGTGGCCAGCGCGAGGAGCCAAGGGAGGAGCATGTTGGGCGGTTTCCGCCGGGGAAGTGAAGGAGTGAAGGAAAGTAAGTGAGATGGATGCACCTGCAAGTGATGTCTAATTAGGTGTATTGCGTATATTACAGCGGTGGTATACTAGACTTTACAGCACATGTTGGAACCTGCTGGGAGACCCATCTAGATCATCGCTGGCATCAATGCTAAGCTCTTATCTTCCAAACGCTTCAATTCTGCGGGGCGAGTCAACTGCATCGACTCGATCTGCATCGTTTCGCTGCCCATGGTTGCACCCACGGAGCTGCAGACGTAGTGAAGGAATGAGCCAGGATGGCTACGACGCTGACCTCTACAAGGACAGCACAACTCCCTGGAGACGACCTCAAGTGGTCTCCGAATTGGTGACTTTGGCAGACTTCAAAGTCACCACGTGGTGACCTGTTGGAAGGTGCTGGTTCTCGAGCCCAAAGATGATTTTTGTTGTACAAGTGAAGTAAAGGATCGTCGTTCTTGGGTTGGCTAAAGATCCTTTAAGAGCGTTTTAAGACAATCGTCTGGACTTCCAGGGATTTGTGGTGCCAATCAGGGTCACCAGTTGAATCGACCTGAACAGCAGCTCGGAGACAGACATGAGTCGGAAGAAGAAGGCGATCTGGGTCTTGCAACGACCACAGGAGGCACAAAAAAAGAACCAAGTAGCGATCTGGGGCAAGAAAAAGGTCTCCTTGCCGCTTGCCTATAGGTTTGAATGCCCTATACACCAATAAACCTTCAGGGGTCTTCGGGTGTTAACCGACAGTCGTTTCTCTCTCTTCCGGCGGTCCAAGGCCTTGATCCGATCCTCATCCTCATTCCTTTCCCTCCAGGCCGGTCGTACTACGGACCACATTTGACTGGCTCCGGGACCTCATGCAACGCCACTCAAATGAGCTTTTCAGGACCAGCTTGAACTTGATCCGACTGGACACCTTTGGACACCAGGGCAGCCCGGTTTCCGCAACGTTGTCACTCCCTCAGCCCGTTCGAACGGTCGACCGGGCCGAGATATGGGTCGTCTCCTGCGCTAGGAACTTCACCGCGGGATGCCGTTGGCGGTTCTGCTCGACCACCTCCGACACCACGTCCTCGGGCGACCCGCGACCGTCGCGAGCTCGCTCGTCTCGGGCGCTCGGGCGAGGAGACAGCGAGCCAACGCTCGCTCGAGCGGAGCAAGGAGCGGGTCCCGAAATCAGACATTGAAATACCCTAATCTTGGGCTCTCCATGGCAGGGGTCGCGTCAGGTCGTGGTATTGCCCAGACACGACCCGTCTGGGACTGCCAGTCCGGACTGCCGAGAAATGGCCAGGGTGGTTTGACAGGTCAATGTAGGCCTTTATACACCATACATGGAGTGTATGGGTTAATAAGATCATTTCCTGACATCAAGAACCCCAGTCGGACTGAGAGCTATAGTAGGCTATAGGCTATGAGCTTCGTTCTTCTTGTCCGAGAGCTGGGGTCGGCGGACTTGGGACCACAATCCACATCATCCTGACCCAGATGCCCAAGTGCAGAATGGATCGAAGAATTCGAAACCAAGCTGGCCCGTTCCTTTGGCATACGTGGTCCATTCGGGGAGAGAAACTACGGATCGTAACATGGTCAAAAAGCGTGAACCACCCGACAAAATGAAAGAAAACAACAGGCTCTGAATCATCACATGGAACATCATGGAACCATATATGGAACCTAATCCACATACCCTCTGAACGTGATATAATTCGACTCTTTGATGTAGCCTGTGTTCGACTTCCACCCACCTTCTCAGCCAATGGGGCCCTATTCATGGCTTCGGCCGATGCTGACGCGGACTCGGCCACGCGGCCACACCGGTGTAGTCGATCTCCGGGTGCCGTGCCACGAAGAACGGCACCATCCTGCGGACGAAGAGCCACACCAAGAGAGGTTTTTTCATAGCCCGGTGACTGTTTCGCCCATACCTGGTCTGTACCACAGACCAGGGTCCGAACGTGAAGCGACCTCTCAACCTCACGTACCACACACCATCTGCGAAAAAACGCACACATGCGCACGCGCAGGTATCGCATCTGCGCGCAGGTATCGTGATTGCGAAGGGCCAGTGCCGGTCCCCCGGTGTGTATATTGGAAGCAAAGACCTCAAAGATGGACCTGACTTTACTGTGAAATGTAGTGAATGCATGTCACATGCGAAAATGACATCTTACTTTTGGGCCTGGGGACACCTCTTCCTCATTTTTTGGGGTCTGGACACATGTCGAATGGTCTAGACCTCCTCTGCTTCCGCTTCGCCACCCCACCCCCCGCACTGGGCTCCCTGCCAGGTGGCATCGCCACAGGCGCAGTCCAACATGCTGCGGATCTCGAAGGCATCCACCACGGCCTGGGCGGCTGAGAAGCCAGTGACCTGAACTAGGACCCTACTGGGGTACCTATGGGATAGTTTATAAGGTCATTCAACCTCTGTTGGTTCGAGATCGACCAAGTCTTCAGTCATGTTCTTCCACGCGATATACGGCCGGCCGAACCCTTTTCGGGATGGAGTGTGCAATACCCAAGGCTTCCAAGCACCAGCTACATAAGTCCCAAACGCTCCATGTGTGCCATATAGAAAGGGGTCAATGGGGCGGCTATGAGGGAGCACCAAAACCTATGCACCAAAAAGCGGAGCAATAGATCGATGTTGGTGTCGTTTCTTGGTTGTTCGCCATATCGCTTCGCTTTACAGTGCTTGAATGCCTCTGTCAATTTTGCACGTGGATCTGGCTAGAGGGGAGAAAAGAGAGAGAGACAGAGAGAGAGGGAATTGTATTCACACAGCAGCCCTCCTTCCTCCCTTCACTGCCCCAGGAGAGCGCCATGCAGTAGAACCGGAAGAAGCGCTACGCAGTAGAACCAGACTACTATAAGACGGGAAGTTGACGACTTCGCGGACGACGAGGCTTGACCCACAGAACCGATGCAGAAACCCAGGTCTGGGAGGCTTTAACCCTTTGCCCAAGAACTGCAATTCCGACATCCCTTTCCCACATCCCGAGCTCAGCTCGGGCTCTCCATGGGCGAGTTCGGAGCTTCTCCCGACCTCTTAATTCGCAGGGGTCATGTTTAAAAAAAACTATAGGGCTCCAGTCGTACCTCCTGAGGTATTTGGACCCTCCTGGCACCCAGCCCAATCCCACCAAACCTGAGGCCTGAGACCCATGGGGTGCACCCACCGCTCCAAACCGGTCCAAAGGCCTCCAAGGCGGTCACTGCCAGACGGGCTTCGGGGCTCCAGAGGTCCGAGCCTGAGGGCTAAAACCGAGCTGACCGAGCTTCGGGCTGACTGGTGGACCTGGTTTTGGATGGTGGATTTACCAGGTAAAAACAGGGTTTACCCCATGGTTTTGCCATGGTATTTGTGTAACATCCTTAGGAAAACAAGAGTTCTTTAGATGTGTTTTGATGTTTTGACCATTCAATCAATGGTTGTTGGAATCCTATGGATGTACGATCCCCTGCGGATCCACTCAAACCGAACCTCAGGTTCGGTACGACGAACTCGACTGGCTGGGTACAGAACAGTGCGAACACATCACCGTACCTGAGAAGCCCTTCATGCCCAGGGTGGTTTGGGGGGTACTACTGCGCTACTTGAAGCTTCTTCCCCACTGCCAGGACCGGAGACCACCTGGGCGGCCGGAACCCGTGCCAGAGCGGGAGACATCGCTTCCCCAGACCTCGGAGAGGTCGAGCCGCAGCTTCCGACCGCAGTTGGGACAACACCAACAAGGATGGACCAACAACACTCATGGACCCGAATCCTCTGGAGGGGTCGAACCCTCAGAAGGGGTCCTGGGGTTTCTCACCAATCCCCGGTCGGTGAGGAAAGGGCTGTCGTGAACGACGGAGCGTCTGGGTTTTTGGGTGACCCGACGAAGATGTCTCAGGTCTCCGGGTGTTTGTTGGCTGGAGACGTGTTTTTGGGTGGCAGGTGATGACCTGTGAAGCAGCTAGTGAAGTCAGGTGCTGGCATGGGACTGGAATAGATCTTCTTCAACCCCCCCAATGTTATATGGATATGAAAGTCATGGAGTGGTTGTGAATTCGAAGAAGAGCAAATTGAACAGGCACCTCCAAACCAGCAGCTGTCACAAAGATCACAAAGTGCAGAGCACACAATCTCTGCACTTTTAAAACAAAGCTTCAGCCGCAGAACACGGCCAGTGTTTTGCCAGAAACGTCTGGACATCCCCATGGACAATTCTGGAACCCCAAACAACCAGAAAGAAATTGATATTTCCCCAAACAACCATTTCCCATGTAAAGGATTTCAATTGCCATTTTGGAACAACAATTTGTTTCTGGTTGGGACTGAGGTTCCAGTCTCCGATCCCATTTGGATTCCTTGGTCGATCGCGGCCACGGTTTGACATGGTTCTATGGATGGACGGTCTGGCGCTTCATCGTTTTGGGGTCCGATCGGTGGCGCGCGCCTGACCTCTTCGAGTCCGACGGTCACCTCCACCAACAGCAGACGCTGCGGACCGGAAGAGATGCACCAAGAGATGCACCCTGGACGGATCGAATCCACATGAATCGTCTAGGACTGCCATGTCGGACTGCCTTCATTTCACGGCCGATGGGGTGCTGCCAGAGGGGTCAGACTCTGGGGCGGCAGAACGGACTGGCAGTCCCAGACAGGTCGTGTCTGGGAACTATGGCGGATCCCACGTGTTTGATGGATTTTGCCGCAACTGAACACCGCCGACGTCGCCGACGTCTGTGGAACACAGCCAACCTGGTCACGCATGACACGATCGGTGATCTTCAAAGAGGACAACCCCAAGAAATTCGGAAGGTCCAGTGTAGATAATCGCGAGGCATGGAGGATGTTGGCGGGAGTCGAAAAACCTGACTGCGGCCTGGAGCCAGGTTTTCTCTGAGAAGATGTTGGGCCATCACTGCAAAACAAAAGCAACAATTTTTGGGAAGTTGAAAAACAAAAACAACCTGGCTGCAGCCTGCGGACACTGCGGCCACTGTATGTTGGGGGGGTTGTGCCTGGACCTTCCAAGCCTCCAAGCCAGGTGGTTTGACACCCCTAGGCCCTATATAACTATAACCTCTAAGAGGCCGCATACTGAACCTGACTGTCTCAGCTCAACCGCTTCTGAAAACAGCCTGAGCAGGCGGACGTTGTATTCGTAGACGATGGAGTAGGCTTTGTCCTGCAAAACAGCTGAAGAGCCCGGATAGTAGTGGGCTGGAGTGGCTGTTCGCCAGGTGACCCCGAACTGAAGGTGCCGGTAGCTGTTTTTCGACTTTCAGATGTCATTCGGGTGTCACATCGTCAAATCGCAGAAGTCTGGGCATCGAATAAACGATGCGAATGAGTGGATTCGAACGGCAGCCCGTTGGGTAAAGCTTCCGACGCTTTGACGGCATGGCGCCAGTGATCCTCATCCTTTCTTGAAGATTCTCATCCTAGTTCCCGATGGAAAACAGAACAGCAAGAAGAAGTTCACTGGTCTGTTCATGTTCATGTCAGTGTTTGGAAGATAGAATTGGTTCATGAGTTTTCCTTTGCTGCGCCCAACAAGGGCTCCGACTCCCAGAAAGTGTCTGGGGTGGGGTAGCGAGGTTCAGCTACCCCTACAGATTGAGTAAAACCTGGTCCTGAAAACCTGATTTTGTATGACCAACTCCTGTAAAATGAGGTCGAAATGACCTGTAGGGTGCCTTCTGAGGATGTAGTTGGAGGGATACAGTAGTTCATCTCTTTCTGATTTGTCTCCACCATATCATGTCAACTTTATACTCTAATTTAAATTGTGATAATTTGTGGCACAGGTGAAGGAGTGTTCATGTATCTTAGTGATGTTCTTATTGAAAAAAACAAATTCTGTTGCATTGGTTCTTTCTGCTAAACAGACGTCCTTCATCGCCGCCCTTGCAATCCGATCTTGTTCGTCTCCGCCCGGCAGGTCCTGGAATTTTCAGGGCTCACCGAGGTTAGAATCGCAGGAATACCTGCGAATATCTAAACCTTGAAGTTAAGAAAGGCCCAGTACTGCCAAAATGCGTTATAACCTCGGGATATATATAATGGCAGTATCTCCACAACATGCAGAACTTATTCCCCTGTACCGTGCACTTATTCAAATTGTTCAGTTCTGAATGTTAAGCTTTGGTGCTGCACCTGCGATGTCAGGAACCATTTTGGAGCGCAAAGGGCAAAGGCACCTGGTAAGTAAGGAACTCTGTTAAATCGAAAAACTAATTTGCGTGTGTCTATTGATTCAATGTGATTTTACATCATAGTTTCCTGCTAAATCTAGTGCTACATTCATGGTTTTAAGTTCAAAAGGGATACAGAAAGCAACCATGCAATCACATGCAACGGGATATTTAGATGTGCACATATTGCACACCCCTGTTTACACTCCCAGTCTCTATATTCTATATAGCTCTTAACCACCATGGATCACCAACAGGATTTCTGCCATCTACTCAGGTCATGAACACCCGAAAAACGTATTTAATCATAATGACATCTACCAGGACCTTCCAAGTTAGGTGGTTTTTTGGGCACCCCTTAACCTCCTAGAGGCTATTTATACACCACGAACGGAAGGTCCTGGTGGAGGAAACCCTGGCAAACATGCACCTCAGCCCAGTTGACTGAGTGAAAAAAAAAACAAACCAACCAACCAACCAACAAACCAAAACCAAAACCAAAACCAACCAACAAACAAACAAACAAACATCACGCAGCGCGCGTTTAGTGAAAAAACACGACTGACTCCAGTCGTGACACTCCTGACTCAAGATGCTGGAGGACTTCGCGGGGGACACCAACTGGGCGTGTTCAACCGCTCTGCTCGGGCGGAGCTCGTGCTGAGCTGTGCCACTGTGGGTCTCTCTGTGAAGTCACGGACTGTTTGGGGACGGGTGGTTCAGTGGTTTAGATGTTCAGGAGTCCCTTTTTTGACGTCATGCAATGTTCATGGAATATACGCGGAGATACGTCTGGGATCCAGGGGCTCGGTAGTAGGTATTAAGCGTATATCCCAGGCACGACCGGACGGGCATATGTTGCAACCATCCCGCAGTCCGGACTTCATTGCCTTCAATGTCAGCTGGCTTCGTGTGCGCAATTCCATCTGGAGCCCGCACTTCATGTTCTTCAACGTAACAAATGATGATGGTCTGAAAAATTGTGGGCGCTGTCTCGACTAAAGGCAACATTGTCTACAGAAGACCGTGTTAAAAAGGTGCAACTGTTTACAGAAGACGGCTATTAAAGGCAAAGTGGCCTACAGAAGGCTGTTTGAAAGGCAAAACTGTCCCTTCAGAAGACCGTTTGAAAGGCAAAATTGTCTAAAGAAGGCCGAAGAAAGGCTGTAAAGCAACATTGTCTATAGAAAGCAACTTCAAAAGCAAAATTGTTCACAGAAAACCATGTTAAAGGCAAAATGGTCTACAGAAAGCCGTAGAGAAAAGCAAAAATGTCTAATTACAGAAGACTGCAGACTGCTTTGAAGGCAAAATGGTCTACAGAAGACAGTTTATGAAGGCAAAATGGGTATGCAAAATTGTCTACAGAAGAGGTTCAAAAGCAAAATTGTCTACAAAAGACTGTTTTAAAAGGATGGTATCGAATATGTCTTTGCGAAGGAAACTTTTGCGATAACAGGACTTCAAGTTGATGAGCTGTAGCTCCATTCGGTCGCTATTTGAAGTGGATGACCCATAAGATCGAGCGATCGAGCACGGGCAATGAGAAGCCTCCTTCCGGTGGAGACTGGGCAATGCGCAACGGAAAGTGGGCCACTTTGCACTTGGATACTCTAGCAAAACGCAGTCTGGACAAGCAAATGCAACGTGTGCGGTTGCCAATTGAGGCGATGGCGGCGAGCAGCACGGTCACTGAAGCTTGCTGTGTGTGCCATGCATTGGTTGAATATAGGGTCATGTGATGTTTGACTCGCGCGCCCCTGCAATGTTATAGAAAGACTGGGGGAGAGGTCTTTCAAGAAGGTGGTTGGTCCATAGCTCAACGCATGTGCAGTTCCGGGGTTGCTTGCCATTGACAATCATCAATGGCATGATGGCGACATGCAATGCAACGCGCTGATCCGGTTTGCTCCCTGGTGTTGCCATGGACACGTCCTCGGAGCCTTCTTCAAAGAGAGGAAAGGAGGAAATGCCTGCTGCCAAAAGCGATGCTCCGAAGAGATCTAATGTTGGGGTGGCAGCTAAACTTCAGCTTCCTGGGTGCATTGGAGAGCTCTCATGAGAACTACATCTTGTGTACCTCGTACGCAAGTACTTGGTGTATGACTTGGTGTATGTTGGATATGGGTATGAGCACTTGTTGCTGCAGGCTTTTGCACTGTTTCTTGTTATGTCAGTGTCAGGTAACCAGGTGAGTTATCTTCAGCGTGATCTAAGCTTTTAAGACCATGACGGTGAGCGAGCTGGAGGCGCAGATTCTAACGCTGGAGAAGCGTTTGCAAGCAGCCTGCCCCTCCGTCGGTGGTTAAAAGAGTTCTGACTACGCTCAGCGCTTTTTGTATCTCTCTTTAGTTTTAAATCATTGTGCCGTTGACCTTTAGTTACTTGGCGTGCTCTCTCTCCAAGATTGCCAGGCTTGATGCTGCACTGAGTGGGTGTCTTGAAGGGGAATACAATTAACAACATATATGTTGGAATTGCATGGGTTTATGCGTGACCATGACACGGAAACTAGCTGAAACAATGTCCGCAGTTTCACAAGACTGACTTGCATTCCTTGCTGAAAAAGGATCTGTGTGGCTGTCAGTGGCAGTCCAAGTGTTTTTGAAACCTGAAAGTAAAGAGATGAAACCTAAGTGCGACGAATTTGACTTCAGTTTAAACAAAATCATTACAAAGGCAAAATGGTCCATGCAAGACAATTTTAGATGAAAAATGAAAATGATCTATCAAACCTTTACTCCATTCCACTTGACTTCGCAAATCAACGTCGCGGTCCGTCCACGTCCATCCCATGTTCGGCCAAAACGTCAGCAGCAGCGCTCGGAAGACTGGACTGGAAGCACTTCCAATGGGTGTCCTGTCTGGTGACCCATAAGCAGTGTGTGTAGGGTGGTCCATTGGTCACCCCGAAGAAAGGAAGCAGCTGGTACATTCATCGCCGAAGCTATAACCCAATGTCATGTCAAGCTCTTCACTTGAAACAGCCCAAGAAAACATGGACCTTTGTGGGGCGCGCGGCTACGTCGTCCACCCGGCGCTCTCACATTCTTCGCGCTCTCACAGTGACGGAACGGACGGGATCGCCTGGTACTACCAGGAGTTACAGAGAAACCCCAGGCCCCTCCATATGAGGGCCATTTGGGCGTCTGGGTGAGTTAAACGTGGGTATACCGGTGGGTTACTATGGAGGGCGGTGCCCGTGGCTCCTCCCATCCGCAGTGGGCGGGCACCATCCGACTTGTTTTTTTCGTTCGGAACCGGCACATCCGACATGGAACTGCTGGTAGGTGGATGTGGACGTGATGTTTTATTGTCGTAGTACCCAGACACTCCCATGGGACTGCCATATATAATATGCCTACATTGAGGTGGTTTGAGGGGTCAAGGTAGGCATATATGGCATACAGCATACATGGAGTGTCTGGGGTATAGAAATGGACAAAGCCAACCCAAAAGATCACACGGTTGAGAAGTGCCACATCGAAATCCAGACCTCTACAAGTCTCTGTCGAAATAGTGTAGAACGTGTGCCCCCACTTGAGCAGGTTTTCCTTCAAGTTCTTGTCCAGCCAAGTGGCGAGGGTCGAGGCTGGCAAGGTGGGCTGCAGCCTGAGGAACGGTTCTGACAACACTCCAAGGCTGTCTGACGTGTCGAATGCCAAAACAAGTTTTCTTCAGGCCAGCCTTTAAACCAACCTTCTGTCTGGCACACATGAATTGTGAATAATTCCCAAACACTCCATGGGACTGGCATTTTTACCATTACCACTACCATTACCTACATTGGGGTGGTTGAAAAGGGGTGAATGTGTGTAAATATGCCAGTCCCATGGAGTGTCTATATAATCATTGTACAGTAGATCTCTCATGATCTCTCTACCAGCACCCGACTCAACCAGGGCTCCAGGTGGCTCAAGTGGAGACTCTTCGATTCCCTGGCAACTGGTGACCTGTTGGATGGCGCTGCCTTTACGCTTCTTTACAGGTGTGTATGGAAGACGCCCTGCCCCGGTTTCGTGGCGTTTGGTTCACCCCCCGCAACCGGTCACATCCGCAAGAGTTCAGTCGGATCCCAGGCGGATGCTCCAGAAGCCCTCCGCCAACCCCGTGGGACGCCGCGTCCTCCCGCCGATCGGAGGGCACCACGCTCCGAGCGCCCCTGACATGGCACCAGCCCGGTCACCGAAGGCCGGGCCCTCCAGCGCCAGCGCGGCGTCCTGGCGCGGACCGGTCTTAACGACGACGGGTCTAGCGTGGGGGTTGGAGTCAGATCGAACAAACCGACCTATAGCGGTCGACAAATACATGTTAAAAGGGGTTGTTACAATGTACGTTTCACATGTTCTATCATTTTCTAGTCTTTTTCATCTCTTTTCTATCTATTTGGTCTGTATAAGGAGCTTTCCAAGTTCCGGAGATGCAGAGTTGTGGGCGACGTGGGCCGGCTTTCCAGCCCAGGTGACTCCTTGGAGGCTGGTGGCAGGGCTTGACTCGATCCGAAGCCACTGAAGAAGAAGCGCAGCTCTCCATGTGTGGTCTGGTGGTGTCGTGACGACGCTAGGCTAGGCTATGTCCTTCAGCGCCAGGTGTCTCGTGTCTCGTTTCCTTGGATCCAAACATCCAACAAACCATCCACCAAACAACCTTTCTCCAAAAGGATCCAAAAAGGATCGTTCATCTGGCGTCAGTTCACCCTCTTTGATCCTCTATAGCTCTATAGCTCTATGAACCCTATAGGGCTCCAGTCGTACCTCCTGAGGTTCGGTATGACTGGACCCGACTGGCTGGCACCCACCCCAGCACGTTCTCAGATTGGGGGAAGTCCATATTTGACTATTCTTGGCACCACCCAAGGTGTTCAGGAAATTCCTGAACTCATCAGACCACTTAAACATGGTCTTTTCTGGACCGGGATTCCACGTCCCACCTCCGTCCCACGTCCGTCCGTTTTCGCCCCATGGCTCCGACCCAACGCGGGTTTCGCACCCCGCCGGGGCCCCTCGTACTCTCCGGTCGCTCCTCGGATGGGGCCCAGAAGCTTTCCCAGTACATCCAGGCATCCTCGCCCACCTCCTCGGCTCAGCCGCCGGCGGACGGCCGGCACGACATAAAGGTGAGGACGGGTCACGGCCCACGGACATCAAAACCTATGGGTATACATATGGTCAGGTCAACCCACATCGGTCGACCGGCGCATGTGTCGTGTTACATCCTCCATGATGGAGTTTTCAGCCTCCGCCTCTTCTTCGTAGGAAACCAAAGACCAAACGCAACACCCCGCAAAACCGAAGAACTCACCAGCGATATCAAATCATATCGAATCTATGGAGGTCAATATATGTCACCATGATTACCTCTGTAGTTCACACCAGAAGTGCTCGTTCAACAACAAGAACATCGAACATCTGTTGCGTTATATTGCATGTTCTCTTCAGACATCGTGGAAACCAGGGTCATCCTGTCTGGGTGTCCTGGCGTTCGACTAATCGACTACCTTACATATACCCTCTAATTCAACAGGTCTCCAGACGGACCTAGGTCCGGTGTCAGTGCTAGGAAGGTTAAGATTCAGATGGGTTCCGGTCTCTTCATCCCGCTCCTCAAGGGCACGGAGGGGAAATACGCTCAGCGTGTTTCGTCTCTCCATCTCAGCGTGTTCTTCGTCGTGTCACGAGGTCGTTTGGACGTCGTGTCACGTCGCGGGGTTTGTGGGGGTTCAGACCGAACGTTCGACGGTCCTAGTTCGGTACCCCTGTAGGGTCCTAGTTCAGGTCACTTAGCCTCTGTTGGGTGAGAAGTTGCAGGTCCTGCCAGCTGATTCTGAGATGAACATCATTGGAACGGAGCCCATTCCGCCACGGGCGAGCTGCAACCAACAAAGACCTTCTTCCCAAGGTGGGTCACTGAATCTGGCATGCTCAAGCTCGCCAAAGCACTGCACCTGGCAAAGGCATAATCCCCAATGCGAGTCACGGAGTTTGGGATGGTCAAGTTCACCAAAGAGGTGCAGTTTTGAAAGGAACCATTCCCAATGTGGGTCACTGAGTCGGGGATGGTCAAGCTCACCAAAGCATTGCAGCTCGCAAAGGCCCAATTTCCAATGTGAGTCACAGAGTTTGGGATGGTCAAGTTCGCCAAAGAGCTGCAACCCGAAAAGGCGCGCTCCCCAATCTGGGTCACGGAGTCTGGGATGGTCAAGCTCACCAACGACTCGCAACAGTGAAAGGCAGAGTGTTGAATGCGGGTCACAGACTTTGGGATGGTCAACTCAACCAAAGAAATGCAACTTGCAAAGGCACCATCCCCAATCCGGATCACCGAGCTTGGGATGGTCAAGTTCGCCAAGGAGGTGCATGACCCAAACGCTTCAAGCTCAATGTGGGTCACCGAGTCTGGGATGATTAAGTCAACCAAAGAGCGGCAACCCCCAAAGGCACTATCCTTGATGTGGGTCACTGAGTTTGGGATGGTCAAGCTGGCCAAAGAGCTGCAATGCAAAAAAGCGTATTCCCCAATGTGGGTCATTGAGTTTGGGATGGTCACTCCTACCAAAGACCTGCAATGAGCAAAGGCGCAAGTCCCAATCTTGGTCACTGAGTTCGGGATGAACAAGTTTACCAAAGAGCTGCAATTCAGAAAGGCACAATTTCCAATATCGATCACAGAGTTCGGGATGGTCAAGCTCGCCAAAGCACTGCAATCTGCAAAGGCAGAACCCCCGATGTGGGTCACTGAGTTTGGGATGTTCAGCTTTGCTATGGTGCTGCAGCCTTGGAAAGCGTTTTCGAGAATTTGTGTTTCATCGTCAGGAATTTCGACCACAAAGAACAGTTCCGAGTCAACAATACCACCAAGACTGGCGATCGCGTCTTTGTTGGAGCATGTCACTTTGTTTGGTTTGAAAACAACACTCACAACAGTATCTTCAGCAATTCCACCGTCCAATACTTTTGAATCGTTGGCCAGCAATTGGTTGTCTCCGACAATGATCTCCACACTTGTAGTGCTGCGAGTGAGTTCGTCCCAGTGCTGTCCTTCCTTGATCTGCTGCTTGAGCAAGCGGCCTGTTGTTTCTGGCGTGACTTCAAGAACTAGGACTTCACCACTTGGCTGCAGCGCTGAAATCTTTGTCGCCATGGCTCAAAGACTATACGGATTAGGATTGTTTTGGAGTAGAGGTCACTGCTGGCTATGACCGTGAAGAACACTCTTCGTTTCGTGAGCATGACATGGAATCCTGGCTTCAGTGGACAGGTGATTTGGACACCGATCATGGAAGAAACAGGTCGAAAAAGAAAATATCTACCAGCACCCTCCAACAGGTCTCCGAAATGGAGGGTTGTTAGGCCCTAACAGGTTCGAATTGGTGACCTGTGAAGTCGGGTGCTGGTAGAAAACTGTGAGAACTTAGTGCTCTGGACGACTGGATATCTCCGGAGATCTCCCAGCTGATGATCCGATCGGCCGGTTCACCTCGATTCCTTGGTTTTCCGTTCGAAACCCACGGAGTTCCCACGCCCGATCTAGGAGGATTTCGGAGTTCGCACGCATCCGTCAGATGGGCCCTAAGGTGATGGGCCCCACTTCTCACGACCTGAAGATCACTGGCCCTACCCAGACGCTCCAAACAGCCCTTGGTCCCTCAAAACCTAAGGAATTCAGACCCCAGACCCCTCCATATGAGGGCGGTCGCGTCTGGGTCGAGGATCGAGAACGCCTCCACGTCGACGACATGGTGGACATGGTCGGTGAGTCGGTCGACGACATGGTCTGAGACCTTCTTCCCACCGTGCCCGTGCTCCACAAGTCGTTGTGAGGGGTCTTCCCCCACCCCCACCCGTTTGGGTCGCATTCGTCCAAGTCGCCCAGTATCGGTGTGGATCTCGTTCATCCAGCTTTTCCCAACCTCACCAGGATCGGACCCAGCACGCCACGTCGGACGACGGAGGACCCGACCCAGCACGCTGCGGAGGCCGGGTTTGGAGCACAAGACACACTGACTTGACCTCAGAGCGGATTGGCCGTCCAGGAAGCCCCGAGAAAAAAAAAACAACTACGTACTACCCCCCCCGAGTTTGGAGGATATTTGGTCCGGGACAAGAACCCATCTCACCTGATCAGCTCTCCAGCGCTTGGCCCCACCAGACTTCGAAGTACTATAGAAGCGGCTTTGAACAAGTCAGAGAATCACTGGTGAAGGCTTATCATGGCTTATCATGGCTTATCCACCCCTATGCTTTTGACATCCAGTCCTCTGACCTCACCTGCTGTCGCCACCGTCTTCACCTTCCCCGGTGCCTTCGATCCCCCATACCGAGCACCTGCGGCCCTGCCGGCCCGGATCAGTGTCCCAGGAGACATCTCTTCGACTTCACACGCACCAAAACCCATCTGTTTTTGGGGGCAGAAGGAAAGGAAAACCTACATCTATGTTGAATGGTTTTGGGGGGGGGGCCACCCCTAGAGACTAGTGGTGTTTATTGGATGACCCTTTTGGAAAGCCGCAGAGAGCATTCCACGCGGATCTCCATCAGCCCGGGTTCCCGAGCGCCACACCGCCGCCGTGAGCTGTGCCTGCGGGCTGAGCGGGTCGGCATACGGGTCGGCATGGGTCAAGAGAGGTCTAAGTGACCTGCACTGCGACCGCACTGGAGTACCCAACTGGGGTAGTTCGTCGAACGTGACCGGGTCATGACCCATCTCTGTTGGTTAGATAGCATCTGATACATTCTGGATGGCCTTTACATCCTGGTATCTTTTGGAATACTATACCCAAACACTCCATAAAACTGGCATATTTACCTACATTGGGGGTGGTTGAAAAGGGGTCAATGTATGGAGCATATGCCAGTCCCATTAGTCGTGTCTGGGTATAGTATTCCAAACGATACCAGGACCATCCTGTCTGGGATGGCCAGGTAGAGACCATCTGAATCTGATGTTCGTTTTCAGATCTTTGCTTCGGCCCAGGTGGTCGGAGAGATTCGAAGGTGGCCCTTTCATCGAACCAGGCAGGAAGTAAAGGTATAGCTGGGCTTCGTGTTCCGAGCGAATGGTGCATCTGTTGTTGGACACCAGAGCGGGTTTCAATGCTTGTGGATTATATCAATGACATCCCGTCATTCACCTATAGCCTTCCAAGCCAATGAAAAGCAACGTTGACCAGATGATTTTGTAATCTAAAGTGTTCTAAAATCCGTAGTACAGGGCCATTAGCACCTGGACCATTCCCTGCGACACGGGTGGTGTCCAAATGTGGTTCGCTTGAACACACAGGTAAAACTAGTTCTTTCTGTTACAAAAACCATTATACAGCAAACCATATGATGGGCCAGGAATCATGACGGGCTTCTGCCCAAACCATGACGACCACCGCCGTCGTGACTGCAGGGTGGTAATGACCTGATTTCAGATATAATATGAAACACCCTGCTTGTGATTGGTCTATTGGGGAAATGGTGAAGAAGGGCCGATTTGGTACCACATCCATATAACCATTGGTTGCACATTTGGGGTATCCCGACAGCAAAAGGCCAAGAGGAAAGGAACCTTCCTAAAAACAAAAACCGATCGATCATCCAACGATGCAACATTTCTGCCGAATTGGGTTGGCTTGGGAGAAATATGGATAAATGTTGCACAGTTGGCAAATCTAGTATGTAGAATCCAAACACTTTACAGTATAGTTAAACATGTCATAACAATGACCTTTCATACAGATTCATGCACTGTTTCTTGTCGTTCGTTGTAGTTCAGCACATTGACAAGCTGACCTTCCAGTGGCTGTCGAAGAAAACCGTCTCGAGGCATCTCCAGGGGGTCGGTTGCAAGGCGCAGATGTGGAACAGGAGGGCAATGGACCATCGGTTGTTGCCGACTCCCGCTCACCATCATTGGACCCTCACCCTCACTGGAGAATGACCTGACCCCGCGGAACGCAGGGGCGAACGAAGTCTCAAAACCTTCGACCGAACCGAGGCTCCTTGATTCTTAGGGTGAGGGCCTCCAAATGCATGCATTGACACCTCCAAAGGAAAGGGGAACAGGGAAAAAAACACCACAAGAAGAGGATCTACCTTAGGCTTCGACCACCACCATTGATGCCCGAATCCCGAACAACTGTTTTACTATGGACGTTGCACTACAACATCCAGGTCAACCATGCTAAAAACCCATGTTAAAGGGCCAGGGATTCGTTTTCTCACCCCAACCCTTTTTTGGATACTCTTTTGGGACCACAAAAACTGTTCAATTGACACACCTTGTTTTGACAACACCATCCGTTATTTTCTGACGACCACTTTTTGGCTCCCAACCTTTTTTGTTTGACCGCCCTTCTTTTGAAAAAGTAAACAAAAACCTACCTATCGCTTTTTGAGCCCCCTACCCTTTTTGTTGGTCCCCAACTTGTTTTGACAAGTTACAACACAAAAATAAAAGGATGCGCGTTTGCTCCCAGTCCGAACCCTTTCTTAGATTCTTGAGTTGCGACACATTTGGGCTCTGTCTGTGTATGGGAAAATGAATGAACATGATATGTTCGTTGTTGGCTGGTTTGCAGTAGATAGTCGTAAAAGCTAGGCCACGGATGCGTTTCTCTAGATGCCAAGACACCAGTGATAAGTTGACAAACAAATCGTTCACAGAACGTATACCTTGCAGTCGCGGATGCTTTGGGTGGAACACTTCGGTTCATGTCAGTGAGACCCGGCATCGGCGTGGAGCCCGCCTTGTCCGAGCACTTGGTGAGCCGGATGCGTGCGTCCTGCAGCAACTCCTCGGAGCGTCGAAGCAGGGGGGGCGGAACAAGCAACCCGCGCCCTATAAAGGGGGCGGAACCCGCAGATGTTTTCTGCGTTGTTTATTTTTTACTGTTTGTTTTGTTTTGTGTTTTAAACCAAGCAGGGCGTTCAGCACAAATTCACACACAAAGTATCATGCCATAAGGAACTCATCTCATGACTTCATCAAAATCGAGCTAAATCACGTGGCGAAGCTCTTCGCCATCAGCGAAACTCAGCCTTTTCTCCGTAGAGCCGGTCACTGTTGAGAACAAGCCCAGCCAGACGTTAGCCAGCTGCAATGGAGTGTTTCACAGGCACAATCAAGTTCTATGACTTTTTTGCATCCTTGCAAGGCCTTCCTTTCAAACCTCGCCCAGGACACTGTCAACACTAAAGATCTGCATTGCTCAAACGCCTCTTCGCCAATCTCGATCACTGAATTCGGAATAGCCAAGCTGGCCAAGGAGCTGCAGTTCCAAAAGGCACATTTCCCGATGTGGGTCACAGAGTCCGGAATGGTTAAGTTCACTAAGGAAGTGCAACTCTCAAACGCGCTTCTTCCGATGCGGGTCACTGACTCCGGGATATACACGTTCGCCAAAGAACTGCAATTTTCAAAGGCATTGTCCCCTATGTAAGTCACCGAGTTCGGGATGGTCAACATGGCCAAGAAGATGCAATTCCGAAAGGCACCCTTCTGAATGTGGGTCACAGAGTCTGGAATGGTAAAGCTCGCCAACGACGTGCACCTTGCAAAGGCATGATCCCCAATGTGGGTGACTGAGTTAGGGATGGTCATGCTCACCAATGAACTGCAATTTTCAAAGGCACCATGCCCAATGTGTGTCACCGAGTCTGGGATGGTCAGGCTGGCTAATGATGTGCAACCCTCAAAGGCAAAATTCCCAATGTGGGTCACTGAGTTTGGAATGGTCAAGCTCGCCAAAGACCTGCAATTCAGAAAGGCACCTTTTTCGATGTGAGTGACTGAGTTGGGGATGGTCAACATCGCCAAAGAACTGCACTCCCGGAAGGCATAATCCCAGATGTGAGTCACCGAGTCGGGGATGGTCAATTTGCCCATCCGTTTGCACTCTTGGAAGGCTCTCTCAGAAATGGCCCTTTCATCCTGTGGGATTTCCACCGCAAGCAACACCTCCCGGTCCAGCTGGCCATGCTCTTCGGCCAAAACGATGGCACCTTTGTTGGAGCATCTCACAGAGTTCGGTTTGAAGACAACACTCACGACAGCAGCAGCGAGCCCTGCATCTGCCACCTTCTCATCATTGCACAGCAATCGGTCCCCAACGATCATCTCCACCACAGTCGTTCGGCGAGTCTCCTCGGCCCAGGTCCGACCTGCCATCTCTTTGATCTGCTGCTTCAGCTCTCGACCTGTCGTCTCTGGCGTAACTTCGAGCCAGATCTTCTCGCCATTCACCTGCAGCACCGAAAGTCGGATCATGACCATGGCTGTTCTACCATCGTAGCAAGCAGACTTCGTCCATGCCCGGAACTTCTGGGACTTGACTCATTTTACCCACACACTGGGAGTTCTTCTTTCCAGCACCGGGCCCAAAAATAGCCTGACGTCTGCTCTGAAGCTGGTCTGAAGCGTTTCGGTCTTCTGTTGTTTTGGCTTTGTCAACTCCGTTCAGCAGAGCCCATGTCCTCTCACCTAGAGCCCATAGGCATGAGCGGAGCGGGCGTCCAGGACCCGATAGGCATGTAGGGCTGATTGGAGCGCTCGGGTTCGCCCGCAGAAATGGCAGGGTTTCCAACTTTGGAAGGGTCTCACTCTGGTCTCACTCTTCACGATGAGTCATGACCCCTGGAAAAAACCCTGAAAAATTGAAAATCCATCCTGGAACAAAGATGGATTTATCCAAACACTCCATGGGAGAGTCCTGGCAAGAGATGGAGTCGGTGCCTTCAGTTTTCTTCGGTAGACCGCACTCCAGTCCAGGAGCTGCAGCCTTCACGTGAGGGTAAAGCCAGCCTTCCTAAAGAAACAAAATCCTGGAGGACATACATGATAGAATGTGTTCCTATGCTAATCCAACAAGCACCTACAGATTCCTAAATCTTGATCTCCCCAACGTCCCCTCCCAAACACTCCATGTGTCCCATCTTTACTTGTATACACTGGGGTGGTTTCAGGGGTCTAGGCATGGCATATATTCATGCATACCAGGAGTCACAAAGCAGTTGCTTTTCCCCACATCACTATGTGGGGTTCTTGTTTTTCGCTCTGCACCCGCCGCTCCGCGTCCGCCGCCTCCTCCGCCGCCCGCCGCTCATCTTACACCACCTATCTTACATCATCCGTCTTACACCGCCCATCTCACACTACCCATATCACACCACTCATCTTACCACCTATCTTACACCACTCACCTTACACCACCTATCTTACACCACCCATCATACACCACCCATCTCACACTACTCATCTCACACTACCCATCTCACACCACTCATCTTACACCACTCAACTCACACCACCTATCTTGCACCACCCATCCTACACCACCCATCTCACACTACTCATCTCACACTACCCGTCTCACACCACTCATCTTACACCACTCACCCTACATCACCTATCTCACACCACTCATCTTACACCACTCATCTCACACCACCTATCTAACACCACCTGTCTCACCACCCATCTGACACCACCTATCTTGCACCACCGAACTCACACCACCCATCTTACACCACTCATCTTACACCATTGAACTCACACTCATCTTACACCGTTGAACTCACACCACCTATCTTACACCACCTATCTCACGCCACCCATGTTACACCACTCATCTAACCTGGAAGGGAGATTTTGTGGCAGGCACAGCACTCTGTGGACCTGGAGTGTAGATTTCGTGGCAGGCGCAGTACACAGAGCCTCCCGGAGCAGCTGCGGCGCGCGTGGTCGCCGCTGGGC